GAGGAGGAAGAGGAAGAAGAAGAAGAAGAGGAGGAAGAAGAAGAAGAGGAAGAAGAAGAGGAAGAGGAAGAAGAAGAGAAGGAGGAAGAAGAGGAAGAAGAAGAGGAAGAAGAGGAAGAAGAAGAAGAAGAAGAGGAAGAGGAAGAAGAAGAAGAGGAAGAAGAAGAAGCAGCAGCCTTTATTCCCCCTGCTTTTTGCGTCTCCCCAGCAAAGGGAGCGGGGGTGGCTGCCTCTTTGCCCGGCCTTGGGCCAGGGGACCCAAGTTCAGCCTCTTCCCATCCCACCAGCAGCCCTGGAGGGGCTCAGGAGGTTTGGGAATGCTGCTGGGACATTGCAAAAACATCAGTGACCGGCCCGTGCCGACCAAGGAGAGATGCTGGGACATGAAGTATGGAATGACAAGAGCAGATGTTGCTGTTGGTGTGGAGTCCCAGCTCAGCTGGGACACCCCGGATGTGTTTACATCCCTGTACCCTCTAGATACAAGCCCAGATAACTAATCAGTCCCAGCCACTCTTCCGACGTGTCGGAGGCTCATGGTGCTGGTGTTATCTCAGCTTTCTCAAGGCACCCGTCAATCCTTGGGGACAGCTTGTAGCTTCTGAGAAGCAAAGTCCCTGTTTCCAGGGTAGAACTGTCCCTGAATTTAACAAAGTTAATTGTTATTAACTAAGTGAACAGGCTTGTTGTCCTATAAAGGCCAGTTGGTGTCATAGTGGGAGAAGGGAATTGCCCTGTGGAGGACACTGGGGACCCAGCACAGGGCTTTTCATGGGTCCCAAACAGTGTCCCCTACAAGTGACGCCATCCCGTATTTGTGGGGGGTGGAGCTGGACCTGGACTTGGGTCCCTTGGCAAGAGCAGGGTTTGTCCCTGGCTTCTGGGACCCCGTACTGGGCTGTCACTCAGAGGGGACAGAGCCAGGGGGGAACAAACTTGGCCCATCAAGGTGCTGCCCAAAGCAGCTCTTCCCCCGCAGCAGCAGGATTTCGGGAATTCCACAGGCAGGGCCAGGGCCGAGCACTTCCCATGACATCCAGCCCACGCCAGGGATCTGCTCAGCCCCGACTGTTCCAGGAAAAACCCTCCTCCAAAAAATGAAGGGAACGGCGACCCACGAGGGGATGATGAGCCCAGGCAGGGCTGCCTCTGCCCACAGCCTGTCCCTCTGTGGGGTCAGAAACTTGAGGGACCATGAAGCTGGGACCCTTGGCTTCCACCACTCCCCCCAAAGATCCAAACTGCAGGAGAGGGGGACAAGGGGATCCCTGTTTGTCTGGGGTGTCTGCACCAAGCACCCCCAAATGCTCGTGGTTCACCCCAAATGGCCACCCCGGGGTGGGGACAGAAAAGGGAACAGATACAGGGGGAAGGAAAAAAGAGGGCAAAGAGGCAGGTAAAGAGGGGGATGAGGAAAGAAGGGGACAAAGAAAGAAAGGGGAAAGAATGAGGTAAAGAAAGAAGGGGGAAACAAGGGGGCAAAAAAAGAGGGGAAAGAAAAAGGGGGTGAAGAAGTGGAAAAGGATGAATGGGACAGAGAAGGGATAGAAGGAATGAAGGGAAAGAAAGAAGGGGAAAAAAGGAAGGGCAGAGAAGTGAACAAGGAGAGAAGGGAGAAATAATGATAGAAAAGGAATAAAGGGGGCAAAGAAGGGGATGAATAAAGAAGGGGCCAAAGAAAAAAAGGGACACAAAAAGAAGGGGGGGGGAGGGGCAAAGAAACGGGTGAAGAACAGGGCAAAGAAGGGGACGAAGACAGAAGAAGGCGAAGAAAGAGGGAAAGATCAGGCTGAGGAAAGGAGGCAGAAACAAGAGGGGAAAGAAGTGCACAAGGAAGGAAGGCAATGAAGCAAGGAGGGTACGATGAAGCAAGACGAGTACGAATTAGTAGCCAGGAGGGAGGGCCGCTTGCCGCTCGGAGGGGCGGGGGCTCTTCCCGGCAAGGGGGCCCGGACCTGCCGGCCCGCCCCGTCCGCGTCCCTGGGAAAAGAAA